AGAATTATGTGGAAGCAGAGGTCTTTATTAGTCAACTAGGGTATAAAGGCTTTTCTCCAGTGAGATAATAACGCTGTGAACACCTGGCACTTTCCTATTAGCTAAATGAATGACTGTCTGGAAAACTGTGCTTAAGGGAATATGGTCTCAAATCTTCCTGCTAAATACAGGGGCCTTAGCTACTTTGTCAGATGTGCTTTCTTTATGTAGTGAGTCTGTTCCTTCATGCAGTTTCTGTAAATTGAATCACTTGAAGTGAACTGAGAGTTTCTATGTGAATTAAGGAATCTTTAGATTAGTCCTTTAATGAGGCAATCAACATTCAGTTTATCTGTCTTATTTCAGTTTTAAGCATTGGTCTTTAAAGAATGTTTCACTCCATATTTCTTTACCTTGATGAACAGCAAATTAAATGAATTCTTACAATCATTGGCCATTTACTTCTATAAATGCACTCCTTTCTCTTTTGCATAGATTTGCTAACATGGTTGAAAAAATAATTATATAAATATATTTAAAAACCTATATATGTATGTATTTTTTGGTTTTTTTTTGAGATAGGGTCTCCCTGTAGCTACAACTGGTCTGGAACTCACTATGTAGACCAGGCTGGGCTTAAACTCACAGAGATCACCTTCCTCTGCCTCCCGAGTACTAGGATTAAAGGCGTGCACCATCATGCCCGGCCGAAACCTATTTTTTTCCCTACTGAATACATATATATACACACACTTTTTTTTGTTTGTTTGTTTGTTTGTCTTTTTGAGACAGGGTCTCCCTGTTGCCCCAGCTGTCCTGGAACTCACTATGTAGACCAGGCTGGCCTCGAACTCACAAAGATCCACCTGCCTCTGCCTCCCAAGTGCTGGAATTAAAGGCCTGCACCACCACGCCTGACTCCCCTGAATATATTTTAATGAGTAAAAGGAGTATTGCTTCTATTAATTTAAATGTGCTTAAAGCCCCCCCCCACCCCCAAGAATAAGCTGCAAAATCATGGAAAATCTTTAAACAAGAAAAAAGTCATGTTAAACCCAAGGCTCATTCAAGAGGGTAGAAGTGAGTTTGGAAAATTATGTATGAAAAGGAACATGTTAATCACCTTTCTGGTAATATGACAAAATGCCTGAGATAACCAACTTTAATCCATGATGGATTGGCCCTATTGCTTTGGGGAGGCAACACATCATGGCAGAAGTTCATGATGAAACTATTCACCTTGTGACCAGGATGTGAAAGAGATAGGAAGGGACTGGATTTTTACTGTTTTCTTAAAGATCATGCCCCCAATGATCCAAGTCCTCCTACTTGGCCCCAGCTCTTAAGGTTCCGCCATATCATAATCCCACCATGGGTTAGATAACCAGCTTTTGTTCACCTCATAGGCCTTTGGGGAACACTTATCCAAACTAATGCAAGGGTTCATTTGATGTGATTCATTTCTCTTCTGACTTTTGTCAAATTGTGATGAACAGGAAGGCAGTCTTGTTGGTCAGAGGCAGAAAGAGACTGGCTAGGTGGCTAGCTGTCAGGAGAATGGCTAAGAGTATTAAAGAGGCAGCCTAATAGTAGTCTCTGTGAAAGGTAGTAGAGAGCCATGTGTCTTCATGGTTCTTTCAGTAAGAGCCTCCTTGAGAGCTGCTGAGCACATTCCCACTCCTCTAATGATTGCATCTCGTGTTTTTACTTGCATGGTACGGCAGTGTCCTAGAGCATTGGCAGATGGAAGTGATTGGAAGTGACATTCACACTTTCTGGATTCCTTAGGAAGAAGGTCCTTGGCACCCTCCTTTCTGCTCTCTCAAACCTAGAGCAGCCATCTTGGGCCTATAGAAGGAAATCATATGAGGGGAAGCAGAGGCCCAGCTTGCCCCAGTCCTTTTCCCACAACAGTGAACTGAGAGAGAGCCTTCTGTTTTACTCTCGCTGTTGGCCTTGGGTGTCTGGGGCTCTTCATTACAGGAGTTTAGTTTGTCCTTGCTTGCACACTGCATGCCATTCCAACATTTTGATAATGAAGCACAGGAAAGGGAACCAGGCTTCTCTGCAAATGGCATAAAAAGCAGAAATGGATTTAAAAGATAAGGGCTAGCAGAGAAATTACTAACTTCTAATATGAGAGGTTGATCACAATTTTATTTAGATATATCTGTATGTATAGTTTGTTTTCTTTAGAAATTGCTGTAAGGTAAGGGGTAGGCCATGCTGTACTTAGAATACCTAGGAACTGAACTGCATGTTGTGAGCTGTGATTCTCTCTAAATCATGTTAGCGATGAGGTATTTTACTTTGTATAGTATTGTAAACTAATATTACTTAGACTTTGCTACTGTGAGAGGACACATGATTGAACAGAAAAGTGTGTTACCTGATCTTTCTGTTACTATAGAAAGACTTGATGTTGAGGCTGGGAAGAAGACTCATTGGATAAAGTGCTTGCTGTGCAAGTGTGAGGAACTGAAGTCAGATCCTCAGCACCCACAGTGTTGCAAGAGTGGTAGCCCACCTGTAATCAATCCTAGCACTTGGGAAGCAGAGACAGGGGATCCCCAGGGCTGGCTGGCTACCTAGACCAGCTGGATTGGTGAGCTCCAGGCTTATCAAGAGACCCTGCCTCAATGAATAGGTGGAGAACAATTGAGAAAGAGGTTCACTGTCAACCCCTGGCCTCCACATGCATGGACATAAAATGTGCACTCACACACATACATGTGTGCATCACACGCACACACACACACACACACACACACACACACACACAGAGGAGGGAATTCTTTTTAAAGGCTCGATATTAAGAGATGCATAGTAGTTTGCCTACATTGTAGGCAGTAAAGGAACTTAGAAACGGAGTCTCATACTTGTTTGTCTTTATGTAAACAAAGTGTTTTGTTTTGTCATTAACATTTAAGTATTTCAGTTTGTTGTTTTGGAATGGGTCGTCAATATTGCTAAAGTGGCTGATGGATAAAAATGAATCATTTTGTTCTCTCATCAAGAAGTATTTCATGATGGAAATGGGAAAAAATAGTATATTTGCAATAGTGACAAAACCCAAAAATATGTGAAATAATTTTTAGGAAGAAAAGTGGCAGATCTATTTGACAAAGTTGGTGGTTCAATACAGTGGGGAAATATGGATTACTGAACAAATTATGCTGGCATAATTAACTATTCATTGAGAATAATCTGAAATCTTGAAGCTTATGAAAAAATAGCTTCCAGATGGATTAAAGACTTAGACGTAGAAAGTCAAACAATCTTACAGAAACCCCATGTGCATCTGAGAGGTCGGAAAAACATTAACTAGGCTCTAAACTCACAATCTGCTTTTTTAAAAAAGGACTGTTTGACTACATTAAAAAAAACAAAACAAAAAAAAAAAACCAAATAATTTCAGTGACAAAAAAGTATCCCAGAGTCATAGAGAGGCAGTAGATTTGGAAGGATGGTTAAGATTTCTATTTATTAATTTAATTTGTTGTTGTGTGTGAATGTTTGTGTACGAGTGAGTGAAGTATGTGAAGGCATGAGCATGCCATAGCAGCTGTGTAGTGGTCAGAGGACAACTTTGTGGGGTTGGTTTTGTTCTTCACATTTATGTGAATTCCAGGGATCAAACTCATCATTGGACATGCTCTTGAGCAAGCCCCTTTAGGCAGCCACCTTGCTGGTCCCAGGATATACAATACACAAAGAGTTCTTTAAAAATTTGACAAGTGGGGCTGGAGAGATAATGCAGCAGTTAAGAACACTGACTGACTGTTCTTGCAGAAGACCCGGGTTCGAATCCCAGCACCCACATGGCAGCTAACAGCTGTCCGTAACTACAGTTTCAGGGGATCCGGCAGCCTCTTCTGTCCTCCATTCTCATTGCACGACACGGGTGCACTTACCTACATGCAGGCAATACACGCATACAGATAAAATTAAAATAATAAATATTTTTAAAAATTTGACAAGCCAGTCCATCCAAAAGGAAACTTTTAACAGAACATATTTCAGTGGACAATTCACTGAGCAAACCCAGATTGCTGATGGAATTAAGGAATAATGCTCAAAGTTTAACAGAGTGATACTAATTGACTTAGCAGTAATAAGTCACAGCCTTGCCTTTTTTCTTGCTCTCTAATGGCTTACCTCACACAGGCTTATGTTCTCACAGGTTCTATGCATTGATGTCAGGTCTGCCGTTGCTGAGTGCTCTGCTCAGGGTCTTAGAAAATCATAGTGACTCAGACTTGTCCAGCCTGTGGGGTGAGAGCTATGAATATAGCCAAAAACCACACCATAAGCTTATGTAAAATATTACGAGATTTCTTTGAGAACTTTTATGTAACTGGACTTCGTGGTTCCTTGGGCATGAACTTTGTAGATGACATCATGTTGCAATGCTGAAGGGTTGGACACGTCTATGAGCCAACTGTGCTTTTCTCTTTTATTAAAAAATATTTTATTCTTTTTATTTTGTTTATGAGTGTATTGCCTGTATGTGTATGAGTGCACCCATGTTGTGCAATGCCAAGCAGTCAGAAGAGGGCTTTGGATTCCCCTGGAACTGGAGTGAAGAATGGTTTGCGGCCACCATGTGGGTGCTGGGAATTGAACCCCGGTCCTCTGCAAGAGCAGTCAGTGCTCTTAACCACTGAGCCATCTCTCCAGCCCCAATTTTCTTAAGAGTAGGTATTGGTTGCTACACCTTTCTGGAGCACTGGTGAGCTGTGTGCTTTTCCAGGTTCACATCACTGCTTTTTTGTTTTGTTCTTGGTTTTTTTGAGGCAGGGTCTCCCTGTAGCCCCAACTGGCCTGGAACTCACCATGTGGACCAGGCTGGCCTCAATCTCACAGAGATCCACCAGCCTCTGCCTGGGATTAAAGGTTTGTACCACCACATGTAGCCTTAGGTTCACATCTCTGTTGACAGAATCCTTTTCCTTGGTACTCCAAAAACTGCAACCCTGCTTTGTTGCCAGCTCTTAAATGGGGCTATCCTTAAATTGTAGAGTTCCCGCAGGTGCCTTCCACGCAGCCTTCTCACTGGTGGCCCTACCATGTGGCAGCATCAGCAAGGGTGCCCTGGCTCGGCTCTGATAGCAGCTGGAAGGAATCATGGCAGTGACTGTCCATCATCTTTGCCATATTCTGCTGGACAGAAGACTTCCCTCAGAGTGATGATGCTACTCATTGGGGGTCATCTCAGAAGAAGTCTCCTTACCACAGTCACTAAAATTCATCAAAGGAATGGGGAAAGCACTGTTAAGTTTATTGCACAGCAGGGTATCAGATAAGTGTAGGAAGGAGAACTTCTACCCAGGACTGCCAGAAAGGAGAGGTATTGTGGCCTTAAGTGTTTTCTTCAAAAACAAACAAAAAATAAACTTTTTGAATGAGTAAATCTACTCTTTAGAATATTTTATGGAAATAAAGCCTGTAATACCCAAGGAGATTTAAGGACCTTTCTTTGTGTAGTATTATTAGCAGGAGCAGAAAAATA